AATGGGCCTCTTCACCATAGGGGCGTGACTAACCATCCCCACCCAGTCCTCAAAAAAGCCACGCTCAGCCTTTTAGCGCAGAGCAACTTCCCGGAGTCTTCACGGAGACTTCAGGGTTGTCTACCGCTGACGAAGCTTCTGTGAGAGAAGCGAAACGTCCTTTTTTGTTTTTTGTTTTTTGTTTTTACCCACAGGTACAGATGACGACTGACAGAACCCTTTCTACGATTTAAAAGACTTAACAATTGACAAATTGATTTATTTTCCGATGGTCCAGTGGTTAGCGCGTCGACCTCACAGTGCAGAGTTACCGGGTTCAATTCCAGCTCCGGCCTCCCTGTGTGGAGTTTGCATGTTCTCCCCGGGCCTGTGTGGGTTTTCTTCGGGTACTCTGGTTACCTCCCACATTCCCAAAACATGAATGGCAGGTTGATTGTACACTCTAAATTGTCCCTAGGTGTGAGTGTGAGCATGGATGGTTGTTCGTCTCTATGTGCCCTGCGATTGGCTGGCAACCGGTTCAGGGTGTCCCCCTGGGATAGGCTCCAGCATCCCCCGTGACCCTTTTGAGGAGAAGCGGATCGGAAAATGGATGGATGGATTTATTTTCCCCATAACCGCCCAAGGACGTTTTGCCAAACCCCCATCCTGAAAAAGTATGGTAACACAAGTGGTCTGATACCACTGTGTGAAGAACATATTTATGGATTTGTTGCAGCGGAGGATGGAGCGCTGCTGGGCAAGATTGAGAAAGTTCGCGTGCTGAGAAACGACCGCAGAGAAGGTAATTAGAGGAACAGAAGATGTTTTCATTTTTTAATCTCGGGACAACCCTCTTGGTGCTGTTGCTTTGATATCGAGTGCCAGCCTAAGGCTCGAGATGGAGACATTCTGTTCTGGAAAAAAGTTGTGCGCATGTGGTTCTTTGTAACCAAGTTTTTTTCAGGACTGATGCGCTCGAGGGTTCGTGGTGCAGATGCTGCCACGGCGCCAGTTCTCACCTTCCTGGACTCTCATTGTGAATGTAACGACCACTGGCTTGAGCCGCTCCTGGAGAGAGTAGCTGAGGTACATACGTGCACACTCATACATTAATCAAGTATTTGCTCATGCTTGTAGTTCTGTGTTCAACAGCAAGTTCACGCTGAAATTAAGGAATGGATGAATGCCTTATTCATCCTGTGAGAGAAATTAAATTAGACCCAAAGCAGGGGCTCAATAAAAAAATTTAGATTTATAAAGATAATAATTTTCCTTTTTGACTGACGGTCGAAAAGGGATTCATTGCACATAATACATCCCAACAGGGAAACCGGAAAAAAAGGACGCTATTTCACTCACGTTACAATTTGGTGTTTGCCGCAGAGCTTAAGATCTAATTTTGGATGTAGTTATGCCAATTTCCTTTCCCCTCATGAATTCATTGTTATCCAAAAGCCTGTGAAGAATTTCATTCGAGATGACCTTGTAAAGATTGTTTTGCTGCACATCTTTGAAACGTGGAACGTATTCAGTATCACAGCAAAGGATGAAAGGTGGTGTACTGGTGAGTGGTAATCTGCAGCCATGCATTTATTTCTCTTTTTAAAATGTGCATGTTAATATTTCATTCCTCTCCTTCTGGCAACAGTGGAAACTACTCTCAGTATGATGCAGTAAAGTTGTAACTGTTCCCAATCCAAACTACTACCACAATATTAAATGTTATTTTGACAGATCCCAAATAAGATCCACCAAGCCATACCAATACAGTATTGTGGCTAAAAAGCAAAGCGTGGAGAGTCTCTGACGTTGACTTGCACAAATGCAGTCAACGAATGGAGCTATTACCGGAAACAGCATCTGAAATATCCATGTGGTCCACTTCTTCTCAGCCTTTTCCTCTCGTTGCATTATAATATGGCTAAAGCAGCTAGGGAAATCAACTTTGTTCTTGACACTATGCTCTTTGTACTTCAATAAATTATATGCAGGAGAGTGCCTAAAAGTGTTATTTTCCGAGAAGAACACCAGCAGTTGCAGTTTTTCTTTTGCTGCAAGTTTGTGTATCTGCGAGTATGAAACTCTAATTTGTTTGTGATTGTTCATTCAGTTCTGTTGCCTTCTGCCGCGTGACTTGATGCGCAGCGGGCCTTCAAACTTGAAAAAAAAATGAAATAATCGTTTTTGATTAACACTATTAGTGAGGTATTCATTTAACAAAGTTTATTGTGGTTGTAGTTTAACACAGCCCTCCTATTTGACAGCATGTAGAAAGGCTCTAAGTACTGGATTTTAAAAGTATGAAAGGAGTTTGCCCGCCATCATTGTTTTTCTGTTATACTCTTAGTCTGAGACTTTTGACATTTCCAAGTGGTGTTCAAGTGATGATACATTTTTACTTGTTGGTTGAATGGGTGCAAAGTCATCATTTGGACTACTTTCAGGCATTTATTTCCACTTTTAAGAAAAATACACCGCCACCAAACACCCTCAAAATGTCACAAACACACTGGAATGCTTTCAGGGTGGAAGTGTTTTTGTTTCCTTGCTGCCTCTCAGTATTTTGAAAAAAAAATAGGCAGCATCAAAGCACTGCCAATTGCTTCATCACATAGTGTGGCCATTTCTATCTGTGAAATGGTTGTTTTTCCTGTCCTTCACTCAAGAGAGGACAGAGGTCCTGCATGCACCCATGGAGCGGGCTGGCTGGCACTCAGCGCCATGTCGAGCACGCACGTGTCTCATGTTCTGTACAGTACAAGTACGGATTCGTAATGTTTTTGATATCAAAATTCAAGTGTGGTATTCATGGATTTAATTGATTGTAGTGGTTGACTGGGGTCTAGGGAATGGTTTCAAATGAGCTTAAAAAACAAAAGTTAGCATGACTAAAATATGAATGAACTGAGCTTTATTACAAATTAATTGGCTGTTTGAAGGAAGACCATTAAGACTAGAGACTACAAAAATGTTCTTTTGTCTCGCAAAATTTTCATTGGAAGTACGTTCTCATGTTTAACAATGACGTGAAATATTTATCCGCATTAGACAGACTTTGTTTTGACTTTGTTGGAAAGTTGGAAAGGATTCTTTTGTTTCTCTCCATTAGTTCGTGACTTTATTGGTTTCCTTTCCTTAAGCCTTGTTTGTCTGAATTTCATTGAGTTGATTGATTGTTTTTTTGATTTATTTTACATAAATTTCAGATGGCAGAAAATATTGAGAATTTTTTTTCCATTATAGATAGCAAATGTTTTAACAATAGGACATGAAATATTGTGTAGTGCAGTTTTTGCTGTTATAGTTTCGGGTTACAAACGAGTTGAAACTGAATAAACTGTGTCTCTACTTTATGAAACAAAGCAGTGCACTCCATTTTTCTTGATCGATTCAAGACACATTGAATCAACTCAATTTCCCACAACTGACAGAGTACACAGAATGAGTACGCTCACTTGGAACAGTATTTCCTATATTGCTCGTTGCTCACTTGTGCAACCTTGTCTTTTCGCTGGAACGTGTGTTTATCTGGGATGTGAATTTTGAATTCATCCTTTTTACCTTGTTAAGCACTGAAATATTATCTGCCTAACGGTGTCTTAATTATCATTGACATCCATCGTTGTCTCTGACGTATGGATTTTACCATCCATCCGGACAGAAAGATACAATTATGTTTCCTCTCGCCCTTTTTCCAGGATAAGACCAGGGTGGTTTCTCCCATAATTGATGTCATCAACATGGACAACTTCCAGTATGTGGGAGCGTCGGCTGATCTCAAAGGAGGTACAGTACGTGACCTCAATGAGGCAGCATTCGATGCGTTCAATGTCAAGTGTACTTTCCGGCTATTTCGGCACACTCTACGCACTCTTCTTTTATTCTGATGGCCAAGCAAACCTAAGAACTGGAATACTGGGCTTCCTGACTAAAACATGATGACAAAGTCACGTTACGATGAAACAAACGGCAATTTAATACATGATATGTGTGTGTAGGTTTCGACTGGAATTTAGTGTTTAAATGGGATTACATGACTCTGGACCAGAGACGAGCAAGACAAGGCAATCCTATCGCCCCCATAAAGTAAGACCCCACACAACACAAAACCACTCACACCATTCTGGCTACTAACTACTAAAATCATTTGTTTTCTTTGGACCCCCTCCCCCCCATACAGGACTCCCATGATAGCAGGAGGTCTGTTTGTCATGGATAAGGAATACTTTGAGCTTTTGGGGAAATATGACATGATGATGGATGTCTGGGGAGGAGAAAATCTGGGTGAGTGCAGCTCATGCAAATGTCAGTAATACGCAGTATAAGTGCAGCATCAAGTCAATAGACTAATGAAGCTTGTTAAAACCTTTTTTCTGGTTTGTATGTCAGCGTTCTCGTACAATTGCATTGCACACAATCTTGTCAAAAGCATTGGGACACACAGTCACGAACACCTACGGGAATGAAAATATCAAAGGGGAATGGGCCCATCTTTGCAATTGTAAAAGCTTTGACTCTTCTGGGAAGTCTTTATCCTGTTTGGAGTGCGGCCCGGTTCAGGTTCTCTGTTGTAGTTCATCCCTAAACATATTGCCATAAAGTCTTTCTCCCTCTTAATTTTGTTTAAATTAAGTTGGGAATTCGTTTCGAGCGTGCAGCTGTCAGACAGAAGCATTCTCCTTTGATGGGATTTTTAATGAAGTGAGATTGCCAATTCATACATTCATTTTATCGCATATTCCGGTGACTCGAATGTCGGCGAGGGAGCCTGACACTGCCGCAACGCTGAAGACATTTACGACGCGCTGATGGCTCTCGCAATAATCCCCTGTTTGTTTATGGGCCCGCCTGTGTTGTGTTTCAGAGATCTCATTTCGTGTGTGGCAGTGCGGCGGAAGTCTGGAAATCATCCCATGCAGCCGGGTTGGACACGTTTTCAGGAAGCAACACCCCTATACCTTCCCTGGCGGAAGCGGCACTGTCTTTGCAAGGTGCATTAGACCTTAAACTACCAATTATATGCGTGTCCCTAAAATGACCTTCCTGAAGACTTTGTAGGGGTTGGGGAATGACATTATTAGTCGTTAATGTTGAGCTGCTGAAGACCAACATTCAATTACACTCTTATATTCAACAGTAACATATTCACACACATTAGATAGTCATTAAGATTTTTCTCATCTCATTAGATGAGGGCAGTGAATTGTGCAGCCACCGTAGCGTCACTGTGTTGCCTACTTGAAGCTGTGCGAAGTGCAACTTTTATGCTCCCCTCGGTGGGTCCAGACTACAAGTTAAAAACTGTCACAGTTTTGCTGGAACTGATTCTGACATTCTGTACTACGAACATGCCCTCATTGAGGAGGAAAAAATGTTGAAACACACTACATTTTTACGGGTCATACAAATGTAAACCTGATTTTAAGCAGGAGTAAAATGTTAAAAACAAAATAAGACTCAATCTCTCATCTTCCATCCAACTTGAACACCCCCCTTTTTTAAGTCACTAAAGTGTGAAAAAAACGTTTAAACAACACTACCCTCTTAACATTGAAAATAAATAACGTGTGGTAAAGTAAATCTTACAGCGTTTAATGTACGTAAATCTGATTAGGCTATGTTTACAAGATCTCAACGGCCACGGCAACCCCATTTGCCATTTGCCTCAAAATCTAGTGTGCTGTGGAAATTTGGTCTTTTTTTTTCAGTATTCAAGTCTTGTTAAATTTTCTCACGGTCTTTCACCATATCTGTGATTGGTCATTGGGGGAAGTTGCTTCACACTCAAAAGGCCAAAAGAAAAGCAAATAATGAATCTTTTGGGGCTCATTGAATAGAGTTTGCATATTATGCTGCTGTCTTGTATGATGTCATACATGAGGCGGGTTGAATTCTGTTTTGTGATTTTGGAAGTACATTTAGAGGTAGATTTTGGTTACTTTGATTGGAGTATTGTAGCTTAGAAATTGCCTCATTTTAAAAATCTCAGTTATTAACATTTGGTGCCGTTCTTGGTGTTTCCAGCAGCTGGTGAACATCCGTAGATAAATCCTGCAGCACCCACCCCCACCCCAAAATGCATCCATTGGGGATGGTTATGAAAAATGGCAGAGCGTTTGGTGCATCGCAGTTACCCCAATATGCACGGCGGCTGCTTATCACTGATGAAAAGGCCAGACGCTCTCTTCTTGTTGTCGGCCACCCTAGGGAGCCAAGAGTTGGGCCCTAACTGATGACATTCTGCTTGTTCTTCCGGTCTCTCCTATGTAGTGAAGTTGTACTGGCATGTTGCAAAGGGGCCGATCATAGACCAGAAAGACCCGTTTATGTCATCTCTTCTGCTAGAACAAGTGGGTTACAAAGAACATGTCCAGACATCATCTTTAGAAAGAAACACTTCATGCATGAAGTTATCCTCATATTAACTCTGCCTCTTTAAATATTAAATGCCATCTGGTGTCGCCCTTCCACTCGTACAGAATTCTAAGTGACTTGCATTGTACTATGGACATCTTAGGAAAATGTCAGCCGGTGGCTTAAGATCAGTGTTAGAAGCTTTTTATTGGTACATTTTAATTTATAAGCTTCACAATCCAGACACAAATTTCCAAACACCTGCACAAATTCTGTCTAACAGCGCTCATGCAATGCTTTTTAAGATAGTAATTTAGCTATGTTTCTATTACAGTGGCTGTAGTTTGCTGCACTCTACTTCAAAATTTAGATCAACACTATAGAAGTCTCTCATGAGAATTAATCGCAACACAAGCATTTATCCAATAATGCAGCTTTATTTATGACATCTTCTGTAAGCAGCTATATTCGCAAAAGATATCAACTAGATTTGGAATTTCGGACCATGGGCTGGAAAGCTAAATTGCCTTATGTGTCATCCACAGTATAGATCTGCTGCCATTACTGTGAATCCAGCTGACTCAGCGTTTAACTGTCTGTCTGTCTGTGACATTATGAGAAAAGAATGTAAATCTAGCAAAATAGCTCCGGGCTCCGTGTCAACACTTTGCTTTGCCTGGCAACCTCCACTGAGAGCAGTAACTAGAGAAATAAACACACGACCCCACTTGACTGTCCAAACAGGGGGATGCTGCCCTTGGATAGCTGTTAAGATATACAAAAACTATCATTTAATCACCGGCACAATTTTTCATCTTGTCTCTCTTCCGTCCTTTCTCGCCACTTCAGGAACACCAGGAGAGCTGCTGAAGTATGGATGGACGAGTTCAAAAACTTCTACTACGCCGCCGTTCCCTCGGCAAGAAATGTGCCGTATGGGAAGTAAGGGCTAATCTTTTTATTTGTTTTTGGATATATAGCCTGTATATTTAAAGTACCGCTAGTTCACAAGCCACACTGGTACTTGTGTTGAGGAGCATATATCGTTTGTTTTTGTTTCTACTTTCAGATCCTATCTGTATATAAATAACCTACTAGTGTAATAATTTGATCAGAGAAATATATAGACAACAACGGATAGGACTAGATAAGTTTTTGTGCTTCTTCCTACTTCCTTTGAACATGGAAACCATTTTGAGCTATGACATCTATTGATGATGTTTGTGTGCTAATTTTATTTCAAAGCCTAATGAAAAGGAGAGATTGGTATATGAACAATTTTTAGGTGCAAGCTTACTGTAATTTCACAGCATTGCCATCTTTGTCATCTTGCTTGTTGATGCAGGCACTGGTGAAATGTCACTTCAGTGTGTGTGGCTGTACAAAGGCATCACAAGGGTGTCACATGGCCGCAATGGGGAGACAAAAAAAATATTTGCAAAAATAATGGCTCCCCCTTCAGCCTCAGCTTGTAAATTGCATTAATTAGGGTTTACCGCCAAGCTCAGAACTGAAACACTGTGTTCATGATGTACATTGTGACGCATATTTGCGTCTGTAATTTTCTAAATAATGTATAACAAAAAATATACACAACATATTTCTATTTATGTTTCTGTCAAATCTTAAGTCTGAGTTTAAATTTGATTAGTCCAAGTAACGTCAAATATTAGTTCTAAAAACACACTTCTATTTGTTGTTCTTACATTTTAATGAAAAAATAAAAATGTCGTATCTCAATTTGATCTGATTAAAGTCCTAGTCAGTAACCATTCACATTAACTTAATGCTTTCGTGACACTTTTGTTACAATCTTATGTTTTCTGTCTCCCTGTGCTCATTGCTAATCGTAATCATTTTTGGGCACTTCTTTTAATTGCATTTCTGGGCTGCGATTTTTGCTTATTTACACTGCAAAAGCCCTCCTGAGAGACTCTAGATAGATGAAATATTTTATGACGTTTTCGGAACATTGTTGTCATATCTCCCCCTTTTTGCTTGTTTCCTCTGCTGCAGTCATGCCGTGGGCCTCTCTAGTCCTTCTCATCATTTCTATAATTGAATCAGTTTTCACCGTGAGTGACAAGCCTCTCATCCTCTCTGTCCCTGGTTGTCTCCCTCAGCATCCAGAGTCGTTTGGATATGAAGAAGCGTTTAGCCTGTAAGCCCTTTAAATGGTACCTGGAGAATGTCTACCCTGAGCTGCGGTAAGATGATGACTGTATTTCATTTTGTATGCATAAATGTGTCTTACGGCATCCAAAACGGTTTGCATTTAATGACTGTACAATGTTCGCCCACGATATCACTTCATCGTTTTTGCTTGCGCTTAATCGTTGATTTGTGCATAAATATTTAAAGACAATTTAAAAGTTTCTGCATGTGTGATTAGTGTCCCAGACCACCAGGACATCGCCTTCGGAGCCTTGCAGCAGGGAGGGAACTGCCTCGACACACTCGGACATTTTGCTGACGGCGTGGTGGGCGTTTACGAGTGCCACAATGCTGGCGGAAACCAGGTAGCGTTACCACGGCAACACACGCAGGTCAGCATGTCTAAACTTACACTCACCTGGGGGTCGAATGGTTGCACTGGCGCTTAGAAGGAGGCAGTTATGTTTTGAGTAAATCTGAATTAACCCACCTATATCCGTTATCTGTATTATACTGCCTCTGGATGGCCAAGGCGCATGTACACAACAAAAGGAGCAACACAATGTCCATTGAATCGAAGCAAAAAATGCAGCAAAAATGTATTCTTTGCAATTTGTTTAGTTATACCATTAGCATATGTTTTTTTAATGTAAACCCCCCCAAAAAGAACATTATTGCAGCTATTTTTGTAATTAAAGAACACATTGCAAACATTTTACTTTTTTTGAGGGAGGTAGGCTAAAATGGAGTATTTGCATTTTTGTGCATTTCAATGGGGAAAGATGATTTGAGGTACAAATATGTCGAGTTATGAGTGTGGTCACAAAATGAATTTAGCTTGTCTCAAGGCACCACTGTGCAGTGTACAAAATCTACCATACTGATAATAAATCCCAATTTTAATTGACACTGTCTGAAATTGATTCAATCATGAATTCTATATAATGTTTATGATTTTGATTGGAAATTGTATTGGTATAGAACTGCATGGTTACACAAACCCGCCCTCAGTATGATGCAGGGCAATGCTACACTAGTGCAAACGACAGCTACTGTAATATGAGGCTACTGCTCCAATTAAACAGCTCCCACACATCCACTCCACCCATTCATTACCCATTTAAAATTTAAGAACTTTAAATATGCACCATTTTGCACACTAGTAACCTATTTATTGCGTTTTTTATTCATAGCTTATTGCCTTTTACATTTCATTTGGTAGCCTGCAGCTTCATGAGATGGGGACGATTCAGACTATTCTTTCTCTCTACTTTTCGAACATATTGTTAAATTAATACCATAACTCTCTGACAAAGGTGTATCATCTTGAGGTGGATTTTTCTTTTAACTGGATGTTATTAGATTGTGAAGGTTGCCCGTGAGCATCGAGAGTCCAATAATATAATGTAATACTCACTCAACTTTAGTCCGACAGTATTATTCTTTGTTTTGAATGCCTTGAATTTATAATGAAAGTTGGCAATGACAGTGCCGACTTTGAATATGACAAGAATGTGTCATTTTCTCGTATTATTGAATATGACTGAAATTATATTATCCTATTCTTTACTGTAGATTATTTGACCATTGTATGATTGTACTTTTTTTTTTTTTTTTTGCTCAAGGAATGGGCTCTGACTAAGGACAAGTCAGTCAAGCACATGGACTTGTGTCTGACAGTGGTGGACAGAACAGCCGGCTCCCTCATCAAACTGCAGGGCTGTCGAGACAATGACAGCAGACAGGTATACTGACACCCAAATATTACGAAACATGACAAAAAGGAGCAAAAACCTCGACCGATGGGCATGATGTCTCATTAAGTGATGCTTAAGAATTATGTTGAACAACAGTCCCTCGCCATTGCAAGGCTTCAAACAGTAACTGGCAATTGAGCTTATAGTATGACGTATCATCAGCAGGCAACAGTGAGACTGGAAGAGTCACACAAAGGCATAGTAGTGCGGAAATGTATTGGTCCATGGATGAATTAAACACCTGTTGTAAATTTTGGCGTTCATCTTGCTGTGAGAGAACAGTAAGTTATGCAAAACGCCCTGAAACAATGAATGTAAAAAGGTGACTGGAGGTCAAATTAAATTCACCTGGAAAGGTTAGAGTTCATTTTAGGCTCATCCTGAAAATTCACCCAAAACGTGAATACCCGTTATACATTGTGAGTAGTTCATTTTGTAATTGATTTTGAGGAAATGAGATCTTTTGCATCATTGTGATGATGGATTCTGGTAACCTAGAATAGCATAAGAAGGAGTGTTCCAACCCTTAGGCTGAACCAACGGAACCAAGGTATGAATGATTTGGGGCAGCCGCGGTTTCCTTCAGGTCTCAGGGTCCAGATCTTAAACAATGAGCAGAGCCATTGCAATTGTTGGTGCCCAGTTCTGGAACACACTGCCCACTGCTCCCCAATAACATGTCAAATGTCCACCTTACAAACCGCTAATGGTGTGCCGTCTCTGCCTTGTTTTATGAGCAGAAATGGGAGCAGATTGAGTCCAACTCGAAGCTTCGTCACATGGGCAGTAACTTGTGTCTTGACAGCCGCAGTGCCCGCATGGGTGGGCTTACTGTGGAGGTGTGCAGCCCCAACCTGAGCCAGCAGTGGAAGTTCACCCTGAATTTACAGTCCTAGGGGGACAAACACTGCCACTAGACATCATCATCCTCTGCTAAGAGCATGACACACCAACTGACTTTAAGAACTTGTAGAAGATGTCGACTGGAGGGGAAAGACAAACATGATGGATGAATGGCTCCATCTTGCTCCTCCCACGGGGTCTGAGATCATTTCTACACCACCACTCCCTCCTTCAACATACAGACCGGCTGAGAGCCTTGTAGACCTCAAACAGGAAACTGACCATATTTTGTGGGAGGACCGGTGCCGGTTGACGCTGATGATGATGATGATGATGAGGGGGATAAAAGCGATGAAGGCTTTCCATCCAACTACTACATACCTCAGTGTTTTTGTCATTGATGGTTCAGGAGGCAGAATAACATGAATTCTCCAAATCGATTGTTTTCTTCAGTGCTGGTGGAAATGAACTCTTTTGTGTTTTTATTTTGTGATTATTTTCTTTTTAATGTTTTAATTACTGTTAATTTGTGGAGGCTTCTAGGAGCTTTTTTTTTTTTTTTTTTTTTTTTTTTAAACAAAAACAAGGTTTTCCGAACCTAGCCACAATTGGAGGAAAACGTTTTTTTTTTTCTTTTTGTCCTTATGTTGAATCGCATCGGTTTACAGGATCAGCAGCGATGAGGTGGATAAAAAAAATATTTTCTACTAATCTTCAGCCCTACAGTCCCCCCCCCCCCCCCCTTTCCAACAAAAGTTGAGGAGGAAATTCCCCACAATACACAGCGAAGCTCCTAAGGAATTCTTGGAGAACATGGAGTCGGGGAGTTCTGCTCTCTCCTCAGGCTGTAGCACTGGCTGCTGCACTTTAGCATCCTTCTTTTTGTCTTTAAAGCAACAACACAGCACGAAGCTCTTAGAAGCTTATTTTTTTGTTTACTCTTCCTCTCTTAGGCAAATTGAAAAAAAAACTGCAAGGACAATGAACTCTAGAGGACTGATGTCTTTTCTTTACTCTTGCTGCTCTTCGGCTACTCCCTCAGGAGTGCCTCCGTTTTATACAATTTCTGTTTGCATTGTGATTTTATGTTGCTCAGCACATCAGACTGAATTTGTGTTGTTTACTGTTACGGCAGTTTCTCTCTAGAGGTAACGGGAATAAATAGTGGAGCTTTTATTATCACCCCCAACTCCTATTAGTTTCTCTATGGTAGGTCTGACCTGAAGCACCACACTTGGTAAGATGTTTGTCCACTTGATTTATTGTATCCCACAGGGGGAACTCAACCACATCCGCAGCTGCATAGATGTTAAGTGAAAGGAGCACAGGTTATATTCTTACGTGGATCGTGTTCAAATTGTGCATGTTTGTAGCTGTACAGTGACTCAACATGGGACAAACTGTTTTTGGTGAAGTGATGACAGATCAGATGCAGTGTCATTTAAAATAATTAATAGTTTTGCCAAACAATTATGGTCCATACAGTTTTATTGCTGTCCGATGACATCGCAAAGCGTTTAATTAACGAACCACCAACAACTGAAGCACCAAAGGCAAATGCACCACAATGTACTGTATGTTGTTTGTTTTCAAATGTTAGCGTAGATTTGTAAAGCGCGTTTCCGAACATGATGGCCATTTGTTTTTCTTTCAGCTTGTAGCAATGTGTAACAATTTTCCACAAAGCACATTATGTCATCAATGTATTTAGATTTTACATTGAAATCGTGTATTGTCAAAGATGCCGTTTGCTTCAACAATAATTATGGCTCGACAGTAGTCTGAGCCGCCACTTTACCTTTTTTTTTTTTGTTTTTTGAAAGACAAAGAACAATACATTAAGGACAGTCATGATTTGTGCTCACATTTTCTGTATTTACAGGTTGTGTTTAAACAACAATGATAAAGTGTTTTTTAATTCTAAACTCCCTCTTTAATTTTTAATTCGCCCTCCTGATTTTGCCACATCCGATTTACTTCTCCAGAAAATACTGAATGTCAGTCTTTCAATCTCATTTTGCGACTCCGGTACAAAGTGAAACGAGGAGGTGCGGTCTATTGTGAAGGACAGTTGCGGTGGTGATGGTGATGGAGTACTCATTGAATAACAAATGGTTTTGTTGAATAGCTCGCCACTGAACGGTGCATGCAGGAGAACATGATTTTTACATGACGTCCAAATGAGTGAAGTGGATTCACAATGTTGTCCTCGGACAGCAATGCTAGTGTGTCATAAAAGATTACCGGTTCAATTTCTCCAGAATTCTCTCCACATCTCACATAGTTTTTTTTTTTTTTTTTCTTACCAAGTGTTGTCCTTAATGGGCCAATTTTGTTCTGTCTTTCCCTTTGTCTTAAACTTCAGTTGAGGTGACCATGTTGACACTGCAGCTGCTTACAGGGCCAATCCTGACACTTGATCAGCTTCCTGTGCTGGGCTGCCAGCACCCGTGGCCCACGGGTATCTGCTCCGTGGGTGCCGGGGCAGATACAGAGCTTGGTTGTGAGGAGGGCCCTGTTGCCATGGTGACTGTACTGTACTCAGAGGACCCAAATGTCACTTAATTCCGAGGTTTAAAACTCAAATGTTGATGTTTTGAGGGGCTACTGCTTGGGCAAATGCAAAAGAAAGTTAATTTATGTTACGTTATCTCAACATTTTTATCTTTAGAATTAAATTCAGACAACCAGATGAAAGTATGATCAAGTATAAGTAACACTTTAAAGCACTCCCTCTGTTCATTATTGTATTATCATGGCAACCCCACACACAAGATGGTGGAAATTCAATATTAAAAAGTAGAAAGTGTAGTTTTCATGCTGCCGTGTTTTCAGTATTGTGCAAATTTCTTCAAATCACATAATTGTCGTTTTGTATAGAAACCTTCGTGAAGAATAGAAAATGTTTGTTTGGTGTACAGCGCCCTCTATTGCCACACAGTATAAACTGGAAGAGTTGAAAATGACATTTTCTTAACCACAAAGGGAACCTGCATCCTGTGGGCCATGGACGGCCCACGAGAGGATGTAATCCGGTCCGCCATGCAGTTCCACAAACAAATATATTTGATTGCCTCATATTTTCTCATACAAATAATGTGGCTCCCTGAGGACTTTTGCATGACTGAAATGGCCCTTGTTAAAACGGTTCACTACCCGTGGACTAAAACCTGTGATGCGCCACCAAAGAATTTTAGGTCAATTCGTTATTAATAGTTGTTGCTTTTATGAACTGTTCTCTGCTCAGCCAGTTGGAATCCAACTGTACATATCTGAGTTACCATGGCAACACAGTCTGCAAGTCTTTTTGAACCAGAACCATTTAACTCAATGCCTTTTATTTAAAAAGACAACACAATACCATTGATTGGATGATTGAATGTTTACATCTTGAGCACACCGTGCCAAAGTTTCTTCCTGTTTTTTCTTTTCTTTTTTTTTTCTGCATGATGAATGAGAACGTGTTATGACAGGATGTGTTTTCCACAGGGTATAAACCTCTCAACTTCCTAATTAATGTCTTAATACTTGTAACAAGAACATCCAAAGCATGCGTCACAGTTTCAAAATGACGCGGGATTAAATGCAATTCTGTGGAAAAGAGAAAGGAGGTGTAACAATCCAGTTTGATTCAATTGTCATTTTTATTTGCTTAATGATTGCTAATCCTAATTATTCGATTAGCATCCGTTTTAACTGACCAATCTTTAGTTATTAAAATATGAGATGGTCAGGAAGTGTGTCCCATGCTTGAATTCTCAACAATCGATAATAACTAAAAATTAAAGGACATGAACTTGATGCTTTGTGGTCTCGCGTGTAAAAGTGGATATTTTTGGAGATACCTTCATCCTAATCTGTGTACAATATGTACATATATGAACAGTGTACCCAGCCCCAGGTTACTGGCAGGCTTTGTTTTTGTCACACTGTGCAGCATTCCCTCTTTTATAGACACTGCAAACTTTGAATGAGGGCAAAAATGATTAACTTAAATGCATTTATATAAAAACATTTTTGAACCGAGTCGAGTACGTATTTTGGTGTGCGTCCCTTATCGTATCATGACTGAGTCACTGATTTCTGATGCTTTGAGTTGATTTGATTTGTTGAGTTGAGCTTTGTTTTCTTTGGGCTCATGCATCATGAAATTACCATCCTGTTTTGTTTTTTTTCGTCACCTTTCTTGTGCTTTTCGTCTTTCATAACACTAATGTATTCATCCATTCATGTTCCGATCCGCTTTATCCTCACAAGGGTCGGGGGGGGGGGCTGACGTAGCCT